TTAGAAACATGCAAGCACTTAAAAAAAAAAGAAGTCTCTTACGCTCACCAAGGCTGCATTTATGTGATAAAAAATATAGTTAAAAACAGCAATATTGTGAAATATTATTACAATGTAAAATAACTGTTTTCTATTTTAATATATTTTAAAATGTAATTTATTCCTGTGAGTGCAAAGTGTAAGTTTCAGCTGCCTTTACTCCAGTAAAAAAAAGAGTAATAGTAAAAGTAAGTAAGTTAATGTTATTAAATATTAATATCATTAAGGATAACTGTTGTCTATTTCTATATGTATTTTAACTCATGTACTGGTGTTAATTTTTATCATTAATTGCATTAAATAAAAATGTACATTATATTAACATGAGGTGTGATTGCATCCTTGTGAAAATCAGCAATGGTGCACACTCAAGGCTTTCAAAGGGGCTATGTGGGATCTCACCTACCTCACACATAAGCTAACAAAGGTTAATGACCTGGATTTGACCTGGACTTGGAGTGACAGACCTGGCTCCATCACACATCCTTGTAGTGGAAGATGATCTCATATTTCTCTGCAGCTCCAAGCAGCCAGACATACTGATGTGTGTGCATGTGTGACTTAGTCAACAGGCCAAATGCAGCAGTCATGCATGTGTGACTCCAGCTCTTATATAAACTTGTCTCTACAGGGATTCCTGTATAGAAGGTGGGATGCGCTCCAGTAACTGGCACCATTCCACACTAGGCCTGTTGCGATAATTAAATAACCGTCTAATCGCGATTATTTGATCTAACCGCGGTTGTTTCAGACATCCGCGATTATTGTGCTTTTTATACGAGACAAGGGGGGAGTCATACACCAAAAGAAACAGAAGAGCACCAGTTTGCTTTTCATGCACTGTATAGCCTATACAGGGCTCCAGACTCGTTCTTCCCACTGGTCGCTCTTTTGCAACTAACTTTCTCAGCTGGTCGCACAAGCACATGATTTGGTCGCAATATTTATTTATTTATTTTTGCGCTACAACATGGGATTATTCAATGCATGCTGATAAACGTTTATCATAGTTTATAGTTATATGGAAACGAAAGTGGTTAACATTCAGCCCGTTCTTTATCATCAGTAATATTATTTGTGATTTGAATTGTGTGAACAGGAGTTCCCATTCAGTCAGTCACGTTCAACGTTACGTCAGTGACTGACGAATTGCGCGTGGCGAAACACGCACACCAACTGTCATTGGCTTGTTTAGTTAACGCTCGAAGGTGATTGGGCTCTCGGGCGAGATCCCAATTCGTCAGTCACTGACGTAACGTCTCCGTTCCCTCCTTCAGGGAACGAGGGTTACACAAGTAACCTAGACGTTTCTCTTTTGCTGTGTTAAGCCGCGGGCTTCGGGTGCTTTCACTTTCGAATTTGCGATCTTGTTGTCACTGTTTTGCTTACATAGGCTAGGAGAAACCATACAAGGGCCACGGCGGATCAGGGACCTCGGGAGGCCACGGCGGATCAGGGACCTCGGGAGGCCTTGTCTGGCTCGGGAGTGCGTTGATTGCCCCCCCCCCCCCCAAAAAAAATTTTTTTGCCGCACAGGCAGAAAAAATGGTCTCAGTCTGGAGCCCTGCTATATCATCTTAAGCCATTCCATATCTTAATGCGAGGGACAGAATTTAGGTTTACAGAAACTCGTCTTCCTTCTGCTGCAGCTGTCAGTCATTCTCCGCTCAGCATTCAAACAGCACGTCACGTTCAGTTATGACAGTCAGCACGGTACAACTCTCTCTCCAAGATGATATTATAATATCCATTATAATACTTTAAGTTTAAGGAAGGAAGGAATTATCACAAACAGAAAGATTATTAGAAGCCTTTCTTTTTCTCATGATTTCTATCTTATATTCATGAATGTATTTACTAAGAATACAAATAGTTAACAGAATAAACATGTTTAAATTGTATAATTTGCACAAAGTATTTTTTTTTCAAGATATTGTTTTTGCTGCTAAATTATACAGTCAGCTAGTTTAATTTTGTGACGAGAGGGGCGGGGCCGAGAGCCGTGGGAACGGAGCGAGGCCGGTGGAGTAATTGATAATGTAACAACGTTCGTAAGTCAAGTCATAAAAGAGTGACCATTAGTTCCACAAACACAGTATTGATATTCTGTAGTGGTGTAGAAAAAAAGTAGTGCTGGTGTTGGATCGGTATTGGCCAATTCTTAGAATTTGGAATACTCTATGTAATCTTACACTGCAAAATAATAACTCAAAAAGATTAAAAGATAACATCATAATTATTTACTGAACCCTTAAATTAATCAATTATATAATGAAAGCCATAAAAACAGACAATTAATCGTGATAATCGTCATAATCGCCAAAGCCCTAAAACAGACAATTAATCGCAATACCCGTGACTATTTTTAGACAATTAACCATCAGCCAAATTTCATAATCGTGACAACCCTACATTTGTATGATTTGTGTAGAATCATATTTAAAGGGGTCATATGATGTTGCTAAAAAGAACATTATTTTGTGTATTTGGTGTAATGAAATGTGTTTATGCGGTTTAAGGTAAAAAAACCCCCATTATTTTCCACATACTGTACATTATTGTTTCTCCTCTATGCCCCACCTTTCTGAAACGTGTCGATTTTTACAAAGCTCATCGGTCTGAAAAGCGAGGTGTGCTCTGATTGGCCAGCTATCCAGTGCATTGTGATTGGCCGAATGCCTCAAGCGTGTGACGGAAATGTTACGCACCTTACCATATTGTGATGCCTTGTCCCGCCGGAGCGACAAGACAAAAACATTAAAATCCATTATAAACGAGGCATTTGTTGCATCCAGTGGGGACATAATTACGGATTATAATGACTTATACTGTCTTTTTACGCGTTGCGTTGCATC